TTTGTTTCTATAATGTCCTGTGAATTATACATAACCTGGTGAATTTTGCCACCAGATATACAAGCAGTTAATGGTTCGTCCCTTTCGTATGAATATATTTGCTTGATATCATTGATCCTATAATTTTTCATGATAAAAAACTTTAAAATAGATATGCTATAAAATTAAACTAATTGTACATTTTAAATTTGTTTTAATATTAAAATATAATAAATTATTACTAATAATATTAAAGCAGAGTGGATATGTACTTTCCGTATAATTTATAGCATATTTATTTTATTATGTTAGTAAATTACCAACCTGAGCGTGGTCATAATTTTAACAAACTGTTGATTTAAATCGCATAAATATAGCACTCCGTCATTTGATAATAAATATATTGTTTTATAATCCAAACAAATGTGCTTGATATCTTTCATATGTTGCATTAATTTGGGTTTATAAAAACATTTACTACCACTCCTACGGCCCCACATAAAAACCTGTCCCTCCGATGTAATCACAAACGATGTCCACTCATAGCATAATATTCTGTCGATTTTGTAGTCACCGGGGAAATGGATCTCCAATGGACTGCACTTAGCTCTAGCGTAAAAGTCTCGACAATTGCACCCCACCTGTCCAAACCCATTACTACCCCAACCATATACCTGTCCACTGGTGATTAGCGCCACTGTGTGTTCGTAGCCACAACTAATCTGTTTAAAAAGGCTGTTTTCAATATAGTAAGTAGCATGATTAATTTGATATAATTAGTTATATTTTGCTATTTAAATTGGTTAGAAATATACACAATCAGTATATGAAGTTTGCTTTTAAAATGACTGAACAGTACTGTGAAAGCATAATATATGTACAGATTTGTATATTTCAAACAGATTTATTTATAAATTAAATACTAGTACATTTTGTAAAATATTAATGTTTTATTAAAAATATTTACAAAATAAAAATTCGAAATTTAAATTAAACATTTAAAAACTCAAAAAGTAAAAACATCAAATTACCTATCTCCCTTTCCAGTAAACTTTATAGTATCCGATTTATGCCATAAATATTTATCTCCTTCTCGACCTAACTGTCCATATTTATTACGACCCCAACTATAAACCTTGCTACNATAAATATTTATCTCCTTCTCGACCTAACTGTCCATATTTATTACGACCCCAACTATAAACCTTGCTACTAACGGTATTTACAGCCAACGCAAAGTTATAACCATGGTAAAAATGTCGTATATTTTTGTTATTTAGCTCCGATATGTTATGTGGGGTCTCAACGGGGGTGTTGTGTCCCAGCCCCAGGATCCCACCGTTATTACCGCCCAAACCGTACACTAAATCATCGGTCGTTACAAACAGTATATTAGTACCGAACGAGTCGTCGAAAACATAAATTAATTGTATTTTTTGTTTTAAATTTTCGGAGATTTTGTTGCATATATTGAATTTATCTAATACTATACACATTGTTAATTAATTTTATTTATTGTATCTGATTAATAGATTACACAATTATTATGAGTTTTAAAATTTTAAAATAGATAATATTTGATAATAGGTCTTGTATATTTAAATACTGTATAAGCCACGCGAGTTTAAATTTTTTTAGATTTACACAATATAATAATGATTTTGATGTTAATTGACTCAACAAGCACTAATAATTGTTTTTTGTTTTAAATGTTGGTTGCGTAGTAATAATCACTGTTACGGATCTGTATTTGATAATTGTTATGAAACAAGAAAGTGAGACTTATTTTAAATAATTTATACATGTGCTTGATTTTATTTGTACTTTTATTTCATTTAGTTCATTTATTTAATGTAATTTAATAGAAAGTTTATTTACTAAGATCATTTTATACAAAAATCTTTATTAAAACATTAAAATTAATCACAAGAAATATGTGCTCCAAATGCCATCACATGTGCGGTGAAAGGGATCACTCAATACGAGTGTCATATTTGTCGGGTCCAGACCTTTCACAAGGGGAACGCCATCCACGCCATCGTTATTCAGTAATTGTGGCCATTCCTCGTCCTGATGTCTATTAATATGATAATACAATAGTATTACAAAATTAATTATAAGATATTAACGCTTAGAAAATACCCGTCTTTCGCAAACTTAGTCCACATTTTCATGATTTCTCGACTGAAAAACATATCCTCGGGTTCGTAGTCTTTCTCGTGAATATAGGGTAAACCAAATACAAAGGGTATGTCCTGTGCGTGACAAATACCCATAGTTTTCTCATCACAATTGCCACGTTTGGCATAATATTTGCTTTCGTATAGGAGTTCATAAAAGTAAACCCTTTGCCACTCCTTCACAGTTATGGCGAACTGTTTGGCGAACAGATATGTCGGACACTTGAGCGTCAAATCGCCGACAAAGTCAGAGATGGCCCACCGGAGGGCCTTAGGAGTTCATAAAAGTAAACCCTTTGCCACTCCTTCACAGTTATGGCGAACTGTTTGGCGAACAGATATGTCGGACACTTGAGCGTCAAATCGCCGACAAAGTCAGAGATGGCCCACCGGAGGGCCTGAGAGCTACTGGTGTTGACGTTTTGCAAGTAAAATGCGGTCACGTTTTCAATGTCTATGTTGTGATACTCCAAATCGGCCACTTTTATGCCAAACTTAAACTGATCTACAGTTATGTTATTCGGGTTTTTGACCAAAAGTCTTATAAACCCCGCGCCTTCGTTGCGAACCACTCCAGCCATTAGGTCTATGTCTGTGTTTGAATGTATGTTATAAAGTTATTACAAATATGTCCTTGCTATGATATAATTAGACAATGTAATAGACAATAGTATGATTACAACTTACTACAACTTACGACAAAATTATTTATAAATGTTATCTTAAACAAACTGAGTTGAAATGTGTGGCTAAGTTTCTGATAACTTTATATTACTAACGACTTAATTAAGCAAGTTAAAAAATAATTTTAAAATTCTGTATGTATAAATTATAAAAATATTTGAATCCAAACCTGAATTAAACTTTTTAGTCTCAAATGCTTTTTGTGCAGAAATGGGCAGAAACTCAGTGCCCAACGCCGGGTATGTTAATAAAGTTCCCGACACTATATCCTTTGCGTCAACGCTTCG